AAGCAAAATACACACAGAATGGCACACAGTGCTGTAGGAAAAATAAAACAGGGCAGGAATAAAGCAGATAGGGAATCTGAGGGTGGGTCGGGTCACAGTTCTATAGGTGATGGTGGGGCAGGTTCACAGAGGCCACATTTGAGCAGAGCCCTGCAGGGGTGAAGGAGGGAGCCATGCAGACATCTGGGAGAAGAGCCTTCCAGAAAGAAGTCAGAAGGAACAAAAGGGCAAAGGGGAAGGGTGCCAGTGGCTCAAGGAACAAGGAGGTGAGTGTGGCTGGGGCAGAACCAGAGAGGGGTCAACAGTATAAGCTGAGTCTAGTCAGGTGACAGGGTGCCCACACACAGTCTCTTGGTCACTGTGAGCTCCAGGGCTCTTGCCCTGAGGGACAGTGAAAGCCACCAAAAGTCACGTGATGTGGCAAAGGATCCCACTTGTTTGCTGTTTTCTCCTCGGTTGATTATCAATATGTTGGGAGACATTTAGGTGTTCATTCATTCATTCACTCGCTCACCCATTCATTCCTTTATTCGGCAAATGCCTGCTCAATACCTACTATATGCCAGGTGCTGGGAGCTCAAAAATGAGGAGCCCACCATCTAGTGGAAAAGGAAGAGAAGTAAATACAGATGTCAGAGCCGTGTGATATAAAAACTCCACAGACAGCCTCAAGTGCCCTCACCCCCTCCAGAAAGGGCAGCAGTGGTGGTTCCAAGTGGCTCCAAGCCCAGATCTCAGGCTGATCCAGATATAGCTTCTCATGGTCCCACAGCCTAGAGCCACAGGGTGCATTAACCCCTCGCATGCCTATGTGCTAAGTAAGCACCATGGATGGGAAAAGGGGATAGAAGCAGCACACTTCCCCTTTCAGACAGCGGAGAAGGGGAACAGCATTTACTGGTACCCAGTCCGTGGGCCAGAGCCATTTCCAGACTCCTGCTCCAGCTGGGGTTGGGGTGGGGTGACCTTCCACAAGTAGTTCTCCAGCTACCTGTGCTCTGGGGTTGGAGGTAGGGCCGCTGTGGCTCAGTTGGTTAAGCATCATTCCATGCACTGAAAGGTTGTTGGTTCAATTCCCAGTCTTGCTGGCTTGGGCCCCAGTAGGGGGTGTGCAGGAGGCAGCTGATCAATGATTCTCTCATCAATGTTTCTTTCTCTCCCTCTCTCTCTCTAAAAAAAAAAAAATCAATAAAAACATATTTTTAAAAAATAGTAACGTTGGAGGTGGGTGTTTCTTCAAGATCCTCCACGGCCAGCCTCACGTGGGATTGGGGGAGAAAGGGGGCCGGTTTCCTAGATTCCTCTTCTGGGGGCCACACTGCTTTGTGTTTATTTCTGTCTTCATAGCCTCTTGCACAGTGACTGCATATACTAGGCTTTCGGTAACTGTGTGTTAATACCAGTGGGATGCCCCTAGGATACTGCCTGTGGACGCCCAGGACAGGGGTCTAAATCAGGTTGTGGAGCATGGGGAGGGCATCAGGGCCCCTGGATTTGTGGCTTGGAGGACCCAAAGGATGGGACCGCAGCAGGTTGTGCAGGAGAGGCAGCTGCTTTGGAGATCAATGAGGAATTCATTTTGAGGTGTTGAGTTAGCGGTACCCAGGGGACATTCAAAGGCCTGGAAGTCTCCAGATCAAAGAACAGGGCCAACGGGAAAGGAGAGTTGGCGAGCTGGAAGGGAACAAGCGGTGGTGTGGGCGTGTGAACTGGGGCTAGATGTCCAAGGAAGAGGAGCACAGGGCGGTGACTGGCGTGAGGCCAGGGAGGCGCTGGATGGAGAGGAAGTGACAGCCCTGCCGAGGTCACCTCTCACCCTTCCTCAGTATTCCCTCCACTTGGCAGGCACAGGGCCAAGCGAAGTTTCAGCTCCAAACCCTGGGGACTGCTGGGTCAAGGAAAGCAGGGCTAAGCCTCTGGGAGGGGGTGGGCCTGGTGTTTCCATGGCACCCTTCTTCACAGCTGTCTCACAGGAGGGTTGGACCACTGGGGGCTCTGGGTCTGCGGGCGGGAGCAGCAGGGTTTCCTGACAGCATCTTTGAGGGCGTCTAGCTTAGTTTTAAGGCCCGAGAGGAACTTCTCTCGAGAGCCGTGGCCTGAGCAGCCGCTCTTCCACAGCATTCCCTGTGGCCCCTAGGAAGCTGTGGACGAGGTGCAGGAGGACAGCAGGCCGTGGGTGGGGCACCCGTCTCAGAAGTATTCCTTCCACTTCCTGATGCACGAATGGTGCTCAGCGGACCTTGGTTGAACGAATGGGTGGATGAATGAGTGAGTGAGTGAGTGAGTGAATTCAAGCACTTGTAAGCAAATGAATGGGTGCTCCAGTGCCTTGGAACCCCCAGGAGCTTGCCCCAGTGGCTGGAGGATGGTGGCTCTCTGTCAGTGTTTATTGGGTGATGGGTGAGTGTGAAAAGAGGGCTCGGAGGTTTTCTGAGCCCACAGAGTGACCATCAGTCCTGAATGAATAAATGTTATTTCCCACATTCAACTTGAAGGATAATTAAGTGGCATCCTCTCCCTGTGGGAGCTTCTGCAGTTGTTCTTGTATAACTCCTCCACCATCAACTGGAGGTGCTTTCCATCTCCCTGACCCTGAGGGGGAAGGAAGGAAGAAGCGGGCAGAGGTAGCATCCATTCTTTTCCTGGGTGGGAAGGGCACAGAGGATCTCTCTCATTCTCACTCTCAAGTTGGACAGTTTAGTCCTCCCAGCAATCCGGGGTTCATATCAGAACATTCTCTCTTCCTCCTTCCTTTCCTCCGTCAGTCTCTCCTGAAATGGATTTTTAAACCACTCAGGCTCTGCTGTACCTGTCCAGCCCTTGGCATAGCACCAACTCAGAATATCACAGTGCGACAGGTGTGGCCATTGTCACACCCTGAGCATCCATGTGTGGCTGGGGCTGGCTGGGCCAGTGGCCGCAGGAAGAAATCTCCCTCCTGGCTCTGACCTCAGGGAGCTCAGGGACTGGCTCTCAGGATGGGATGCAACTGGGGGCGGGAACACTACAGAGTGGTGCCCTTCAGGGGGATCAGCGCTCCCTGGAGCTTTCCGACTCGGGAGGTTGGGAGCTGGGCTCTCGGGAACATGGAGGCCCTGGGCTGCTGGTGGATGTTCCCCAGCCTCACCCAATACATTGGTTTCCTGTCCCACAGGCCCAGCTGCCTTCCTGGGACCATCTCTCTAGGGACCAGGCCTGGGACAGAGTCCTCCTGCAGGGGTTTGTGCATGAACTATTCTCATCCGACTTCCTGCTGCCTCTGCGTGCCCCCAGCTCCAGCCCAGGCTGCTGGGCAGCTGGAAGGGTTGGAGTCGGAAGGCGCTCACAGCTGATGATATTTCAAGGCATTCTGGGAATGCCTGGCCAGCAGTTTGGCTCAAATAATGAGATGTCAGGATTCATCCATTCATCTCAGATGTGTTCTTCCCCAGTGTCTTTCATGGGGGGACTTTGGGAGCACAGAATAGGGTGTGGCTGAGAGGAGGGAGTCTGGGCCATGGCATCTGTCATCTATCACTGCCCCGCACTTAGCACCGTGGACCCAGTAGGTCTGATGTGAGGCTGTTTCAGCAGCAAGTGCAAGTCCCTGAGAAGATGCATCATTGTCTGTGCACTTGACTCCCAGCAGTTCTGGCATTAGCCTGTGAGAGCCTGCTTGTCCTCACAGGTAGTTCTCTGTGTAGCAGCTTGTCCAAGCCCTGGGTTTTACTGATCGTGCCCAGCTCAGTGTCAGGCCCAAGTTCACCCCTAAGAGACTGTCAATCTGCTGGTAGCTTGGCAACCTCCAATCTCCTTGGCGATTTCCTCAGGACACCACATCTTGGGGGTCGGGTGTGCTCCAGAGTCACTCTCTCCATATCCTGCATACAGAAGTGGTCAAGAGTGTGGGTTTCAGGCCCTAGCCGGTTTGGCTCAGTGGATAAAGCGTCAGCCTGTGGACCCAAGGGTCCTGGGTTCAATTCCAATCAAGGGCACGTACCTAGGTTGCAGGCTCGTCCCTGGCCCAGGCACTGGTCTGGGCTCGTGCAGGAGGCAACCAATCCATATGTTTCTCTCACATCAATATTTCTCTGTCTTTCCCTTTCTCTAATAATCAATAGAAAAATATCCTTGGGTGAAGATAAACAAACAAACAAAAGAGTATGGTTTTCAGCCCTGGCTGGGTAGCTCAGTTGGTTAGAGCATCATCCTGATATACTAAGCTTGTGGGTTCAATCCCCAGTCAGGACACATGCAAGAATCAACCAGTGAATGCATAAAAAAGTAGAATAATAAATCAATGTCTCTGTCTCTCTCTCTCTCCCCCTTATTTCCCTCCTAAAAAAAAAAAAAAAAAAAAGAAAAAGAAAAAGAAAAAAAGAGTATGGGTTTCAGACTTAAAACTACTAGTTGGAATCAAGAACCTGTGACTTACTAGGTCTCACCTTGATTTTTTTTTTTTATCTTCACCCAAGGATATGTTTTATTTTAAAGAGAGTGGAAGGAGGAGGGAGTAAGAGAGAGAAAAAAAATTGATGTGAAAGAGAAGCATTGATCGGTTGCCTCCTGCAGGTACTCTGACTGGGGATCGGACACAAAACCTGTGTATGTGCTCTGACTGGGAATTGAACCCACAACCCTTTGGTGCATGGGGTGACGCTCCAACCAGCTGAGCCACACCAGCCAGGGCAGTCTTTTTTAAAAATAGCCTTTACGTTTTTTAAAGAGCAGTTTTAGTTTGTTTGTTTTTTTTAAAGAAGTTTTAGGTTTACAAGATTGAGCAGGAAGTACAAAGAGTTCCCATATATTCCCTGCCCCACACACATGCAAATACGTTTTTGACTTCTTGAACCTCAGTCTCCTCATCTGTACAGTGTGGGGGGGAAACGATGATCTCCTGCTCACGGAGTTGGGGTCAGGGACAAATGAGGTCTTGCTGTTGGCTCCCGCCTGGCAGTCAGTGGACCTTGCACAGCGGCTACTTTGTCCTGGGGCCCCTCTGATGCTGACCTTTGTCTCAGGTGACAGGAACACCCTCCAGAGGCTTTGATGAGAAGGCGTATCTGGCAGCCAAGCAGCTGAAGCCCGGAGAGGACCCCTACAGGCAGCACGCCTTCAACCAGCTGGAGAGCGACAAGCTGACCTCAGACCGACCCATCCGGGACACCCGTCACTACAGGTGTGACTCCATGGTGCCGACGGAGAAAGGAAGGTGGAGGGAAGGGCCAACCCCAGTTAGCTTGTTTTTCTTCAGCTACATGGACTTAAGAAATGAGGGAGATTTCCTCAGACTCGGTCTACTTACTGAGACTTCAAACCCTCCCCTTCAGCTATGGACCTGACTCCCGTGGCCCCAAGGAGACCTTCCCAGCTGGGACCAGGGAGGCCCCTCAGCACCTCAGTCTGAAGTCCCAGTGAGAGTGACCTGCCAGGGGACCACCCCTAGGTGTTCCTGGTGCCCTGCTGGGGGTGGCCCAGGTGAAGACGGGCCACAGCCCTGCCCACACTGCAAACCGTGGAGTGCTGTGCATGGCCCACGGCTTCCCTTTCCTTCCTCTCTTCCCGCCCCTCTGCCCTCACTTCCTTAAAACTCCCAGAAAAGCTTCCCAGTCTTGTTCTTAGTTCTCGCAGGGTGGCAGTTGGGAGAGACTGTAGACCAGGACCAAGGGCATCTCCCACGTTAAATCCCAGCTCCGACTCCGCCCAGTGTGAGTGACAGACCTTGGGCAGGTCAGCCCCCTCCTTGGTTCAGGCCCTGTGTCCTGTCTAGTTTACATGAGTTGCCACCTCCGGTCTCTCCTCTTCCTGCCCTCACCTATGGGAACAGTCTGAGCTCCTTACCCAGACCTGGGAGCCGCCCCCTCTCCCCTCGGAGCCTCTGCTCCTTTCACTTATGCTCCCCCATCCTATGCTTCTCCCACCGCCCTCCTTGTCTTTCTCCTGCACCCCCCTCCACGCACACATACCTTCATGATTCCCCTCAGTGTCCTCTCTCTGGGGAGGGTTCCTTGCCAAGCCAGGCTGGTAAGGGGGCCTCCTCTGCTCCCTGTGCAGACACCAGGCAGAACAGCAAGGGGCTGTCGTAGCTGACCCACCCATGTGCTTGCAGCTTTGGATGGCTATAGGGTCGTGTTGGACCCAGCTATGCACCCAGCCCTGGTTTGAGGGTGAGCGAGCACCCAGCACCAGGCTGGTCCTGTTTGAGGGTGGGAGAGAAAATTCAGGTCAGTTGCTCTGCGGAAGCAGCTGTAAAAGATGCGTGTGAGATAAGGGGACCTGCCTTGTCGCTCATGGAGGTGTGCCTGAAGCCCAGTGGGCTGGGCAGCCTGTGCAAGGTGAGATGAATGCGGAGTTGGGGGAGCCCCAGACTATCCTCCTTGTCAACCCCAGACTTGTCGGCCTCCAGAAACAACTCATGCTACCAAACAGGGCAATGATCCGCTCCTCAGGAAGGCCCCTGCCCAGGTCTAACGGCTAGCACAGGCCCTGGGAATTCTCAGTCCTGGGCAGTCTCCCCTTTTCTCCACCTGCCTGCAAGGTTATGTCCATGCAACTCCACTCAGAGGCCTTTTATGGGCAGCCCTGACCATGGCCAACCTAGACCCCAGGCCTGGAGGTTCTGCTGACCCAAATCTGTGAATTGAGAGGCTGCCCGAGTCACTACTGCCCTCCCTCCCACCCACCCCCACTCTGAACCTCTCGGTGTTCACTAAAGAACTTACATGAGAAATTCCTCTTGGGGATACACACATTTTAAAATGAGACTCTTCAAATCCAAGGTAGTGGTGGGTTGGTGAATTTCACCTGCCTCTCCTACCCACCCCCGCCCCCCTGCATTCCCCCTCAAGGAGAATTATTCTGCCGCCTCTCAGGATTTCTCCCATGGGGGCCCCAGGCTGGTGGGCCTCCCATCTGCTCTGCAAGAAATGGGCCTGGGAATTTGGCTGTAAGCTGCTGTCAGTGGAATGAATGCTGTAATGAAAAAATAGTCACTGCTGGAATAGTCAGAGAGCAATTGTAATAAAGAAGATTGCCGTGAAAACCAGCCCCGTGGCCGCCTTCCCCAGGCCCCAGGAGTGTGAATAACGCCTTCGCAGAAAGACAGATGAAGGCTGGCAGGAGTGGAGTGTTTGAGTGTTTTCATTCCCTTTTCATGGTGGGGGTAGGGGGAGCCAAGGGCCAAAAATGTGGTATCTGGGGATGGCGAGCAAGAGCAGCTGGGGAGGGAGTGGGCTGGTGGGAGCTGCCTTTGCTGTCTTCTCAGAGGCCAGTTTCCTTCAGGAGCCCCGGAGAGGCAGAGGCGGAGGCGAGGCGAGGCTGCTCCCTGCCCGGTGTCAGCAGGCAGCTGTTAGGATGGGCAGTGAGAGGGAGGAATTCACAGCATAGCAGGCTGGGGGTGACTGCTCTCCAGATCCTACCAAATGTCACTGGGGGTGGGGGGTACGAAGGAAGAAGCTGCAGGGTGTCAGAGACAAACAAAAGTGCCCCCCCCCCCCCCGCCTTGTCTCTTGGCTGCTCCATCGGCAGGGAGTTCTGTCTGTGGGACCAGACCTGGGGCAGTGCCTGCACATGGCCGGAACCTTGGTGAGGGTCCCCCACCTGTGAGGTCCCTCCGAGGACTCCAGGCTGGGTGGAGTGTGGGCGTGAAGGGGCAGGACCCATGTCCTGGCTGCAGGCTTTATTTCTCTGTCCCACAGAGGTACTCCGGGGGGCAGCAGGCTGGACAAAGACAAGCCTCAAAACCTGCCCTGAGGACACTCCCACAGCTGCCCTCTGACCTCTCTGCTCCCTTCCCAGTTGTCCATCCCTGTCCTACTCCTCGGACCTGCCGGCCACCAGCGTCATCATCACCTTCCACAACGAAGCCCGATCCACCCTGCTGCGCACGGTGAAGAGGTGAGCCCTGCCTCGGGACCTCTCTCAGCGGCTGCTCCCCAGGCCCCGGTGGTCTGCTGAGCCCTCGGCAGGGGAGGACATTGAGATGGGGTGCTGTGGCCGGACGGGTGAAGACCAGCGGGCCCTGGGAGGGGGAGTCCTGCCTTCTGAGAAGCCGGGGCTGGTGAATCAGGGTCGGGGACACCCCAGAGGTCCAGTTGTTAGCAGATGCACAGGCCAGGTTCCTAGGAGGAGGGCAGAAATTCAGGGTCAGGAATGGGGAGAGGCAGGGCTGGACATGAGGCCTCAGGTGGATGATGCCAGCTCAGTAGGCGCCTGTCAGTGATTCGGAGACAGGTGCCCCTCTGTCCTCCTGAGCTTGGCCCTGTGGTCAAGTCTAACTCCTACCCACCCTGCTTCTTTAATGAACTTAGTGAGAATAGGATTCCAAAAGGCATGCCCAGTGGTATTCCAGGGAAAAAAGAAGCTTGGGTTTCCTTTCCCAGGGAGTAGAGGAAGGTGGGGGTGATGGGAGGGAAAGCGTCGGGGGGCTTCCTGAAAACACTTCTCCTGATTCATGAGGCCTGAACAAGCCTCAGTAGCCTTCCAGGCAGTAGCTTTGTCCAGCTGGGGTGGCCCCCGGACAGGCAGCCAGCGCAGCTGCAGGTCCTGCCCCAACCACCAAACTAGGGCAATATCCACCCCCCACCCGGGGGGTTCCAGGTGCCTGAGGGGCCAGACAGCAGGTCAGCCGGGCCCTTAGCAGAGCCTGAGGAACACGGTGCTGCTCATTCAGTGATCAGGGCCCAAAGGTTTGCAAGCAGCTGCCTATGGCCAGTGTGCTGGCCCCCGAGCTGGGTGGGGGGAGCCCCATGGCAGGGAGAAGTAAACAGAAGTGGCCCCTAAATCTGGGCTCCTCTGTCCCCATCACTGCTCCAGTGTCCTGAACCGAACTCCTGCCAGCCTGATCCAGGAGATCATTTTAGTGGATGACTTCAGTTCAGATCGTAAGTATCCACCTTCTTTCGTTGCACCCTCCAAACCCCCATCTCCCCAGACCATCACCTGCTGGCCTCTGCCCCCCGCCCCCCCCCCCTCCGCAAAAAAAACCCCCCGGAGTCTTTAGTCTTTTCTAAGTTCCCTTCCCAGTACCGCAAGGAGGGGAAAGAGTGGTGTTGTTTGGATGGGACACCAATGAGATGACATTTTTTAAGAATATATTTTATTGATTTTTTTACAGAGAAGAAGGGAGAGGGATATAGAGTTATAAACATCAATGAGAGAGAAACATTGATCAACTGCCTCCTGCACACCCCCTACCAGTGATGTGCCCGCAACCAAGGTGCATGCCCTTGACCAGAATCAAACCTGGGACCCTTCAGTCCGCAGGCCGACGCTTTGTCCACTGAGCCAAACCGGTTATGGCGAGATGACATTTTTAAACATTTGAAGCATCAGCAGCCTCCTTCCTTATTACAACTGTCACAGGGAGAAGATTGTCCTGTCAGTCTAGCTCCACAGATGTTAGGCTGGTGATGGTGCTGGCGCTCTCTGGCGTCCCTGGGGGCAAAGCCATAAGTACAGGCAGTCCTTAGTCTGGCCTGGGAGTGGGACCCAGGGCCACTGGAGATGACCATGCTCCTCCATGCCGCCCATCCCCAGCCCTTTCCCTGGGCCTGGGGAGTTCCAGTGGTGGCCAAACCACCTGTGATCTGAATGAGCTTCCTTCTCTCCACCCTCAGCTGAAGACTGTCTGCTCCTGACCAGGATCCCCAAGGTCAAGTGCCTGCGCAACGACCGGAGGGAAGGTAAGTTCTTGGACCCTGGTGCCACCGCAGACCCCTGTTGGCCTAGACCTCTGCACGCCCCACTCCCTTTGGGTGCTGTGTCATGCAAACCAGCATGGCCCTGCTGCATTCCTGTGGTGAGAACCAAAGTCCCTAGAAGGAGCCTCCTGTTTCCCAGGTCCGCCCGTCCCAGCATGACTGTAGGCAGGTTGCTCTACTGAGAGATGGGGGTAGTAACAGTCCCCTTTCTGCCTTGCACGGAGATTGTAAGGTTAAATGAGATAGGCCACGTAGAGATGCTTTGGGACAGTCAAAGGCAGAGTAAAGCAGACGGACCTCATTTCTAACCAAGAGGTGTTTGGGCATCAACGACAGCATAAGACTGCTCTCTGGGGGACACAAAAGAAGTCTAAAACGTGGTCCCTACCCTCGGAGAGCTTTGATGCAGCCGGGGGGTCAGAATTCACAGCAACAGGCTGGTTATAATTATTAGGATGGAGATCAGAGGAGAGGGTGCCGGAGGAAGGCGGGTGACCAGGGAGTGGGCCTTGATTGGGTGAGGGGCGCTGTGAGACAGTGAGCAAGGGGGGGCTTTCTGGGACGCTGCAGGCAGAGGCGAGGGTCGGAGGAGGCACACAGGGAATGCTAGTAGCCCTCCTCCCCAGTGAGCGCTCACCCTGCCGCAGGCATTCACTTTTTCTGCTCTCTCACCGTCAGTCCTCATAATAGCCCACAACTCCCATTTTGTAGATAAGGAAACTGGGATTTGAGGAGGTTCAGTAATTTCCCCAGGGAGGGGATGAATAGAGGAGCCCAGATCCCAACCCAGGGAGAGGGATCACCCCAAAGCCCAGCCTCTTCACCTCCTTACGCTCACTCTCCCTTCCCAGGAGAATCCGGGTCAGCAGGGAGAGTGGGCGGAGTGGGCGGAGTGACGGTAGATGACAGAGGACCTTAAGCCAGAGAAAGGCATTTAGACTTGATAAGGCAGATGGTAGGGAGCCATTGAAGGTAGGGGTGTGTGAGTGTGTGTGTGTGTGTGGCAGTGAGAGAGAGAGAGAGAGAGAGAGAGAGAGAGAGAGAGAGAGAGAGAGAGGGAAGGGAGAGAGAGAGATGGGTTTATGTGATGGGCATATTTAAGAAAGGCCAGTCAGGCTGAGGGGACCTTCACAGTGGAATGGACCTTGAGAGAGAAATCGCTAAGTATAGTAGGTCCTCAAATAATGTGGTTTCATTATAACATTGATGAGTTGCTATAGGAACTTAGTTCTTGCTTATGGCAAAAAACTGGTTTTGTTATATGTCATTTCACTTAAAGTCACAGAACCTATGTACTACATTAAGTGAGGACTTATTATACAGGGTTGTGAGGTGCCTTTAGGTGGGAATATGCTATTCCCTGGGGTTTTGCCCAACATAGATGTGAATTTATGTAATTAAATTAAGGAGGTTTAAATTAGGTGCTTTATAGCTACCTCTGGAGTGAAAAGATGGGGTAGATGCCATACTCCCTCCCGCCTGTCCTAGCGGGGCCAGCGGGGCCTCCTCTCTCCTCACCAGGTAATTCCCCACCCCTCACCGGGCTATTGTCCGACTGTCATGGTGAGCCATGGGCGAGCCTGTGGGGAAAGGGGTGGACGCAGGGCAGAACCTAGCACATGTAGGCCTCCTGGGCACCAGGCACCCCCCCCCCCCGACAGGCAGGGGTTGTGCTCTCTCTGAATCTCAAGGTGATAAACTGAGGCTCAGAGCAGGTAAATAACATGCTTAAGGTGAGTGAGGGGGCGCGTGCTAACTCCAGCCTGTCCTCGTGCAGAGGAGTCCCTCCACGTCACACATGACGGTGCGGCTGCAGGGGACCGCCGTGGGTTTCCCGGAGGTGGGGGAAGGCTTTTGGTTCCTGGTTCTCCTTTGGTGTCAAACCACACTTTACTGCAATTCCCATTCCCTGAACTCTGACTGTTCACCAGCGGGTCCCCAGAGCCCGGCACAGTGTCTAGCACACGGAGGGCATTCTGAGAATGGCCTTGGAGTAATGACGCTTACTGGATGGACGAGAGAAAGAAAAAGAGGAAATAAACAAGTACAAAGTAAAGTTCAATCACAGTGACTCGGAAACCTGCGCTCCTGAGGGCGGAGACCCCGAGACTCTGTGGGATGGCTGGGCAGCAGATGGGCTCAGCACCACCCTCCGCTTCCCCTGCAGGGCTGATCCGGTCCCGGGTCCGCGGGGCAGACGTGGCCGCAGCCGCCGTCCTCACCTTTCTGGACAGCCACTGTGAGGTGAACACCGAGTGGCTGCAGCCCCTGCTGCAGCGGGTGAAGGAGGTGAGTCTGTCTGTCCCCCGGGGAGCTCTGGCTCTGGGATGTGCCCGCCAGGTTCTTGGCATGAGGGTGTGTGAACCGTCTTTGACGTTGGGCAGGCAGAGTAGGAGCCTAAATGGTCTGCTACCTCCTGAGTGACCACCTCATTGAGCTTCTCATCTGAAAATGGGGATAATTGTAATACAGTGGGGCCTTTACTTACGAGTGTCCCGACTAACGAGTTTTTCGAGATACAAGCCGTCTCGGCCGATTTTTTGCTTTGAATTGCGAGCTAAAATTCGGGTTACGAGCCAGCTTCAGATACCCCACCGCTAGTTGGCGCAGCGAACGTCACAGTGAACGCCACAACATCAGCCCAGCATCACGTGTCTCACTCTTTCACTTTAAGATTTGACATACGAGTAATTTGAGTTACGAGCTCCGTCACAGAACGAATTGAACTCGTAAGTCAAGGCCCCACTGTATTTGTCCCACCGGGTTGCTGTGAGGATTAAACGGGAGGAAAGCCTGAGTGAGCTATAAAGGTATTACAGAAAAGGGCATGGTTGATTTCCTCCCGGGGAGGCAGGGAGGGGTGGGGGTGGGTGGGTTAGGCTGGGAAGCCAGAGAAGGAGGGAGGAGAGAGCAGTGTTCTCCAGGAGAGATGAGGGCAGGGGGCCCCTCCTATGTGCCTGCTGTTCTCTAGAATGGGGAGGATTCGGACAGATGAGGTGATTACAACTCAACTATCAAAAGACAAGCATCCCAATTTAAAAATGAGCACAGGATTTGAATGGACATTTCTTCAAGGAAGATACACAGTGGCCAACAAGCACATGAAAAGATGCTCAACATTCTTCAGTCATTAGGGAAATGCAAGTCCAAACCACAGTGAGATACCTAATAGGACGGCTATAATAAAAAAGATGGACAGTAACACGTGCTGGTGAGGATGGGGACAAAAATAGTCACGCATCAGTGGTGGGAATGTCCAACAGTGCAGCCCTGTGGAAACCAGTCTGGCAGTTCCTCCAAAGTTTAAACAGGGTTACCATACGGCCCAGAAATTCCACTGCTGGACATAACCCGAGCGAAATGAAAACATCCCCACAAAAACTTGTGCACAAGTGTTCAGAGCAGTATTATTCAGAATAGCCAAAACATGGAAACAGCAGATGAATGGTGAACAACATGTGGTATATCCATACAATGAAATGTCACTCAACCATGCAAAAGAATGAGGCACTGTACGTACTACAACATGGATGAACTTTGAAAACCTGATTCTAAGTAAAAGAAACTAGTCACTAAAGAACAAATATTATATGATTGCGTTTATGTGAAATAGCCAGAATAAACACATTCATAGAAATAGAAAGTGGATTAGCGGCTGTCAGGGGCTGGAGGGCGGGGGTAGAGGGGAGTGACTGCTAATGGGTACAGGGCTTTTTGTGGGGGTGATGAAAATGTTCTGGAATTAGACAGTGGTTGCACAACCTTGTGACTATGCTGAAAACCACTGAGCGCTGGCCGGGTAGCTCCGTTGGTTGGAGCCACATCCGGATACATCAAGAGTGTGGGTTCAATCCTTGGTCAGGGCACATACAAGAACCAACCAATGAATGCCTAAATAAGTGGAATAACAAATCAATGTTTCTCTCTCTCCCTTCCTCTCTTTCTAAAAATCAATAAATAAACATTTTAAATATTGAATTTCACACTTTTAAATGGTGAATTTTACGGTATATCAATCATATCTAATAAAATTGCTGTAGCAATGGGAATTATATCTCAGTATATAAAAGTCTCTAAGAAGGATACGGTGAGGCCCCACCGAGAAACCATGGATGGTCTCCCTGATCCTCCGCCTCCCAGGGGGTGTGAACTGAGGGGCGGGGCTAGATTCCAAGTGTCAGGAGGATTTTCAGGGTCAGTGCAGAGTGTGAGAAAGGAGAGAAAGAAGGGGCTCTGTCCCATTCCCTCCACAGAGGGCTGATAGAGGGCACTAAGCTTCACATGTGCTATATGACAATTCACCACCACCACTACCCCCCCCCCCAATAAAAAGAATTTTAGCCCTGGCCAGCGTGGCTCAATGGTTAGAGTGTTGGCCTTCGCACCAGAGGGTCGCAGGTTCCATTCCCAGTCCCAGGTTGGGGCCCCTGTGGGCAGCAACCAATCAATATGTCTCTATCACATAGATCTCTCTCTCTCTCTCTCTCTCTCCCCCCCCCCTCCCTTCCTTTCCCCCTCCTAATACCCCCCCTTCTCATTTTCTCTAAAATCAGTGGAAAAAAATAAAATATCCTCACTCCTTGGGGGGAGGATTTTTTTAAAAAAGGAACTTTAGGAAAATTGGGGCTACCCACCGACGTTTTGGAGGTGATGAAGGGAGTAGTAAGTCTGACCTTGAATGTGGATGCGGCATGAAAGGAGTGACACCCAGGGAACACAGGGTCCCTGCCCCCAAGCTGCTGGCGGCCCAGTTGGGAAGACCCAACCCAAACATGTACAAAGGTGGGCATGATGAATAAAACAACAGTTCAAACCAGCAACAGAAGAACTACCTCAGGCAGCATGTGATTCACTGTCCCGGGAATTGTCTAGACTGTAATTGTGAGAGCAGCTTTAAAGAGGAAGAAATCCTCAGCCTGGAGCAATCGGGGAAAGCTTCACGAGGAGGTGAGATTCCAGCAGGGCTCAACATGACATGAGAGGAAGAGGCTGGGAGAGCATTGGGCCTTGGGACCCAGGTGGGACCTTCCAGGAGCTTGGATGTGATGATAAGGACCCCTCCCGGGAGCCTGAACTGTCTTGCAGGAAATGCTGAGTACATGGCCTTAGGCCTCGGAGAGACCTTCCTCCCAGAGCAGCACCTGGCCCTTTATTCATAGAGTCCCTGGCCTCACACCATCTCACCTTTTCTTTCCTAGGACCACACCCGCGTGGTGAGCCCCATCATTGACGTCATCAGTCTGGATAATTTTGCTTACCTTGCTGCATCGGCTGACCTTCGTGGAGGTGGGTCCTGCTCCCAAGGGAGGGGCTCTAGACCAGAAACCAGGCAGGTGAGGGCAGGCCACAGCCCTGGTTTGATGCTCTTCTTCCCAGCTGTTCCAGAGGATCTCATGACACCCTTACTTCCAGAAAATGAAAAGGGATTGGGTTGAGCCCTGGGGTGGGGACAAAGGGCCGAGCCAGCAGTGGCAGGCTCCTGGCACGATCAGTGGCAGTCAAGCCAGTCTCCTCCTCCCCCCAAACATTGACACACCCTTCCCAAGTGATGCCAGCCCAGGGACCATGGCCAAGTCCTGGTAGATGGACATGGTATGACAGCTGTTTTGGGATGGGGGAGGGGGAACCCTCGACCTTATGTGAATTCCTAACACGGACCCCCTGGAAGTGGTCTGGATCTGTGCTGTCTGATATGGTAGCCATTAGCCATGTTGGGCTATTGCGGTCTTGAAATAGGACTAGTCTGAATTAAGATGCTATAAGTATAAAATACACACCAGGTTTCAAAGTTTTAGTATGAATGTAAAATATCTAATTAGTAACTTTTTATATTGATTGCAAGTTGAAATGATAATACTTTGGATATATTTTGTTAAATATGTATTATTTAATTTCGTATGTTCTTGTTGCTTTTTGATATGGCTATTGGGAAAATTTTAATTACAACTGTGGCTTGCATTATATATATTTCCTTTGGACAGCTCTGGTCAAGACTTTAGAGCTGTATGTCCAATACAATAGACAAAAGCCACATTTGGCTACTTAAATTTAGAGTAATTAAACATAAATAAAATCCAAAATCCAGTTTCTTAGTTGCACTAGTCACATTTCGCGTGCTCAGTAGCCACACATGGCTGGTGTCCACCATATTGGACAGTGCAGATATGGAAGATGTCCATCATTGCAGCAAGTTCTATGGAACAGACTGTTCCAGAGAATCTATTGCTGGGAGCGCATGGGCAAGGTGGATTTTATATTTGGGGCCTGACTTCCAATAAGTGGACATAACCATTAATTAGCTCTTGGGATTGAGTGGGATTCTCAAGGGAGCCAGGCATTTCTCCTTTGGGAAGTCACCTCAGGGCCTTTGCACTTACTGCCTGGAATTCCCTTCCCCCAGAAACCCGCATGGATCAGTCCTTCATTCAGGTCTGTATTCAAATGTCACTTCAACAGAGAGCAACGTCTGACTGCCCTTACCAGAATACTATGGGCACCCTTCCTTCATTTTATTTTTTTTTAGCACTTTTCACTCCTGACTGACATATTATCCATTCATTGATGGATCTTGTAGTCTCCATCCTACCCAGTAGATTGGAACTCTACAGGGGCAGAGACCTGTCTCATTCTGAATGAAGGAACGACTGCACGAATTGCCCAGGGTCCTCTGTGAGCTGGGCTCGGATCACGGGAGACTCTGAGGGGTGGCAGAGTGAGGGGGCAACAGCCACCAAAGGCTCAGCCCTGAGCTCCGTCCTCACCCTCCTCTGTCCCTTAGGATTCGACTGGAGCCTGCACTTCAAGTGGGAGCAGATCCCTCTGGAGCAGAAGATTGCCCGGACAGACCCCACCAAGCCCATAAGGTCAGGGCTACTGTGAGCTCCGCAGGAGAGAGCCTTCTTCCCCTGGGGCAGGGGCCTGGGAGGCTGCTGGGAAGCCGCATCAGTCACCGGGGCTTCTGAGGATGTACAGTCTAAGTGCTGACTCTGTTCTGGGCCCCAGGGACAGAGAGGACAGAGGCCCCAGGGACTCTGCACGCAGGGGATTCTGGGGCCAATGGCCTGGGGTCCTGGGACCCTGGGGCCATGTGGAGGGGCTTCCAGTTTCTTAAGGTCACGTGTTACCTCTCTCATCTCCTTGCTCCCAGGACGCCCGTCATAGCTGGAGGAATCTTTGTGATTGACAAGTCCTGGTTTAACCACTTGGGAAAGTATGATGCCCAGATGGATATCTGGGGGGGAGAGAACTTCGGTAAGTTGGGAAATGTTAAAAGCAATATTAATAACAGGTAACTCTGAGCACTTTCTATTCATAAGGCCCTGTTCTAAGGACTTAATCCTCACAAGGACCCTCTGAGGTAAAGTACTATTATCCCCATTTTACTGATTAAAAAACTGTGGCACAGAGAGGTTAAGTAGTTTGTCCAGAACCACACAGCTCATAAACAAAGAGAATTAGGTCATTAGGAGGAGCCTGTGGCCACACGGCTAGATATGTATGTGGAAGAACATACAGGCTGCATCATGGACCACAGCTTGAACACCTGTTGCTTCCCTGCCAGAAAATCTGGGAGTGTGTTCAGTAAAGGGCACTAGTTAAATGTAAGCCTGGGTGCAAATCCTGGCCATCTGATCCCACCACTTACATTTAACCAGTACCCTGGGTCACTGGTTACTGGGTTACTGGGTGAAAATCCTATCACTTACAAGCTTTCATCCCTGGGCAAGTTAAAGCCTCCCTAAGCCTCAGTTTACTCAAGGGGCTGTTATGAGTACTAAGTGCGACGATGAGTTAAAATGCATGGCACCTCGGCAAGTGTGGCTCAATTGGTTGAGTGTCGTCCCATGCACTGAGAGGTCGCTGGTTCCATTCCCGGTCAGGCCACATGCCTGGATTGCAGGCTTAATCCCCAGGAGGGAGCATGCAGGAGGCAGCCAATTGATGTTTCTCTCTCATCTATGTTTCTCTCTCTCTCTCTCTCTCTCTCTCTCTCTCTCTCTCTCTCTTTCTCTCTCTCTTTCTTCCTCTCTCTCTAAAATCAATACAAATATTTAAAATAAATAAAATGCATGTCACAGTGCTGATAGCCATTATCACTACTTCTGAGGCTGTAGGAACTCTCTAACCCCAGAAGGAAAGGGAAGAACCAAGGAATTCCCAGGGTTGCTGGTGAGGTTCAGGTTGGATAAAGGCCAGAGAAAGGTGGAACACCCGACGTGGATGATTTAAGGGGGGTTATTAAAGGATAGTGTGGGCCAGAGAGAGAGAACCACAGGAGCAGCTTAGTATTGGGCAAGGCTGGGGACTGCTCCTGAGGGTGTCACCACCCCCAGGTCTGAAAGATGGGGAGGAGCACCATCCAACAGGAATTGTGGTCTTGGGGCACCTGTAGCCAGCCCACAGCTCCCGGGTCAGGGGAGGACACCCAACCTCATTCTCCCCCTTCTGATCTCCTGCTGGTGCCTCTGCTGGCTGAACCTGAGCCCCGCAGATAGGAAGCCCAGCGGTGCAGCCCACACAGGCAGCCTCCCGGACTAGGAGCAGGGCAGATACTTTGAGGTTGTAAATCAGAGGCCTGTTCTTGCTCTTTCCAGTACAGGGACCTGGTCCTGTGAAGCGCTTTTTCTCACTGCTTTCTTTTCCATCCTAGCCAGGCTTCTTCCGAAGTAAATAGGGCTGGTGGTATCTCACCCATTTCACAGGTGAGAAAACTGAGGTGGACGCTGCCTTCCATATTTCAGTCAGGAAACCCCATGTCTCACAGGTGTGTGGCACACCTAGCCCAGAGCCTCCTCAGTGCTGGGAGGTGTGATCAGTCACAGTCTGTGTTTCTGAGACGTGAGGTGCAGGTCTTTCTTCTCTCTCCCTGATCAGGAAACAGATGAGCAGTGGGGCTTAAAACAGGCCTGATCCTGTCCGGCCGGTGTGGCTCAGTGGTTGAGTGTTGGCCTATGAACCAGGAGGTTTGATTCAGGTCAGGGCACATGCCCGGGATGCAGGCTCTGATCCCCAGTGCGGGGGGGGGGGGGGGGGTGGTGGTGCAAGAGGCAGCCGATCAATGATTCTCTCTCATTATTGATGTTTCTCTCTCCCTCTCCCTTTCTCTCTGAAATCAATAAGAACATATTAAAACAACAACAAAAATCCAGGCCCCATCCCAACCCAAAACCAGGAGTAACTTAGGAACCGGGGTGCGGTGAACCTTGCATTCTGACCTCCTTTGTGTCCTGGTCTCGGCCTGAAGGGAGCTTCGGCAAAGCCAGTTTCCTGTAAAGACTTACAGACTGAGAAACAAGGGTCAAAGGGTCGCTCCTGTGTCCAGAGGCCTTTCTTCTTCTCTTTCTTTCTTTTCTTTCTTTTTTTTTTTTTTAGGCTGGGGTCTGACAGAGAAACAAGGGAGTGATCAAATAGCGAACTTCACACTCTGCCTGAGGCAAGGGCTCAGTGGTGGGGAGACTTGAAAGGTGAACCGGGGAGGGTTCTGGAGCCGGTTTTGTTTCTTAGAAGAAATTCAAAGGAATTTCTGGCTAGCCATAGTTTTGAGCTGGGAGACTCCTGCTGCTGGTGGTTGGGGCTTTCATTTTGTTTCTTGGTTGAAGAAAGGGAGATGCCCAACCTCAGGCTCATTCCTGTGTGCCTTGGGAGAACCACACTCAGGACCCAGAGTCCACCTTGAGTGTGTGTGTGTGTGTGTTGGGGGGGGGTATGTGAAATCATTGGGAGTTAGATTTGGGATCCTTTCAAAGCGCAGTCAGATCTGTCACTCCACTGCTCAAGGCCCTGCCGGGGCCCCTGCATCACTCAGAGCAAAACTCAAAATCCTGACGCCTGCCTTTCCCCGGCAAACACACACCATAGGCTCTGCCCGACCTCACTCCGCTCCGGCCACCGGGCCTCCTTGCTGAGCCTCGACCTTCTGGCCATGCTCTTCCTCTAGGTCTTGGCCCTTGCTTATCCCTCTGCCGGAATGCCCCTCCCCCGAGAGCCGCATGACTCGGTCCTCACCTCCTTCAGGCCTTAGTGCAAACGCCCCCTTTCAGGGACAACCTAGTTAAAATTCCCTAAGCAGCCTAGTTACAATTGTAGCCCCCCACCCCAGTGCCACTCGCCCTCTCCCATCCCCCGCTGGCCTCCTTTTTCTCCATTGCACTTACTTCACCTGATAGACTGGATTCTACTCACGTGCAAACGCTCATTCAGCGTCACCACCACACCCACAGGAAGAGGGCCAGCAGCCTGTACATGGAAACCCTGGGCAGGAGGGAGGTGGGGGCAGCCAGCTGGTTTAGTTGGTGGCTGGTTTTCCAACCTCACAGGTGCCCAGACAGGCCGATGAGCAGATGTATTCTTCCTTAGCTCGTGTCTGCGGGGGCTCTCTGGACAGAGGCTGGAAGTGATGCTGCCATTTGATTCACTTTTCCTTCTACTTGTGGTCTTCGTGTTCCTTCAGAGCTTTCCTACTGCTCCCCCAGAGCCCAGAGTGTGTGTGGTGGTGGAGAGTGGGTGGAGGGTGTGTGGGTAAGATGTCTGTGTATGCTGTGTGTGGTGTGTGTGGAGGGGGTGTATGTGGAGGGCATTGTATGGAGAGTGTGTAGAGGGTGGGTGTGTGGAAGGTGTGTGTATGTGGTATGTGTGGAGGGTATGTGTGTGTGATGTGTGTAGAGGGTGTTTTTGTGGAGGGGGTGTGAGTATGTGTAGTGTGTGGGGGGGTGTGGAGGGTGTGGGGGGATGGATATGTGTGCAGGGGGTGTGTGTGTGATGTGTGTGGAGGGTG